GGTTCCCAACCTTTTTCGGGTGGCGACCCCTTTTTATAAAAGCCAAGTGTCCCGCGACCCCGATACAATTGAAAAAGGCATTTTTAATAAGGTAATTAAAAAAACAACGAAATTAGTTTTTTTACTATAATTTTATTTTAAATTGTTTAATAATTTAATGCGATGGTTGAAATCGCATGTTATTAACCAGTTTCAAAATTCGTGGGTGAGTTTTTGTTAACGCCAATCTCATGTCATTCTCAACATTTAATTTATTCCTCTCAAACTCTCAACACATGTTTCAACCAACTGTGACAGAATAGCGTACCTAGATTACATTTATTTTAATTTAAAAAAAATATATGAAATTATTCAAAGTTCAAGACACCATTAAAAATAAAACTTGCATTATAGTGAATATTTTTTTTAGTTTACTGTATAAGTTGGCGACCCCACAGAAAGCCCGTCGCGACCCATAGGTTGGGAAACCGTGAATAAGACATGCATAGCACTAGCTAAATAAATTTTAGAAGTTTATCTTTTTTTGCCTTGTTTTTATTTATCAAATTTTAATGTTAAACATGACTAATTTAACATGGATAAAAATATGCACAACTGAGCATGATATGTATTTTTAAAATGTGATTAACAAATATATTTTATATGCAATAAATCAGCAATTTTATTCTTCTAATAGTATCAATACTTTGCTTTAAATACTGCAATGTAGCAGCACAGTAGACTGATTTTCATTTTTGTTAAAAAATTTTAATAATAATAAATGGATGATGATGAATCATAAACTACTTTACATATTATTGCTTTGTTAACATATAAATGCCATGATCACTGCTTCATAGTTATTCACTATTTATCATATAGAAATAGCTATAATTTTAATAAATCTGACATATTGGAATTTTTTAATATACGATATACATTAATAATGATTCAAAATATAATTTAATTCAATTAACAATTACAGTATTGAAAATATTTTAATGTGCAACTATTTCAATGTACTTTATTTGACTACATAAATATTACACACACAGCATATTCAAACATGGTTTGTATAGTGAATAAAATTATTTAAAAGAATTAACAAAAACAATCTTGTCAAAATTATTTCATCAAACTTCATTAATCTATTTTTTCCCCCTTTGGAATTTTTTAAACAAATTTCTTTCCATAATTCCTTTGGCATAATTTATTCAATACATTGAAAAATTTATAAGATTTAAAGTTTTTCTTGACGGTTACAAAAATTTCAAACCTTGCTGTTAAAATTTGAAGAAAATAAAAAAAATTACTTTTGATAGTTTTTGTAGTAACTGAAAAAGACTCCTTTCATGAATTTTATATATCTAATTTCCACACATCAATCATCACAAAAATTATACTTTTTAAGAAAAGATTCTTTCATTTTGTAATAAATTTTACCTTTTCACAATTTTTTCCCTGTCAATAATGAGTTAATACATCCAATTGTTAAGAATAAAAAATCATTATTAAATATATTTAAATTTACAAAATTTTTATGAGTATGCAACTACTCTTCATACAAAAACTTTGTGCAAAACCATTTCTCAATTTAGGCATTTTGCTTGAAGCTGATGTATGTTTAAGACCATAAATAAATCCAATCTATTATATAGTTTCCAAAAGTTTGGAACTTTAGTATAAAAATATGAAAAAATGTTTTCATTTTTACAAAACATATTAGCCAATTTAAAATTATGAATTAATCATATGTCAATATTACAAAAATTTCCATAGAAATTTGCATACCAAAATTAATATGATAAACATAGCAAGTAATAATATTGAATCATTTGGTACAACGGAGCCAATATTCCAATTAGGGATTGCAATTGCTGGATCCTCATCCAGCAATCCAGCACATTTTTCGGCCTGTTGGATCCAGCGATGCGGATCCGCAAATACTCAATTAACTTTCTAAATAATGGCGCAAAAGTCTACATTGTCAGCCTTGCCGCTTTGCTACGTGCGCTATCGCTCGGCGGCGAGAGCGACGTTGCCGTTCAGTGCGGCACGTGCTACACCCCTTCTCTACACCGCATCGCCCACCCTTTTACCTCTACTGATCTAATTGCCAGTTGACTTTCCGTTCTCATCAAACAAAGTGTCTTCGCGCTAAATAAAATAAGTAACTCCTATCCTAGTCCTGGTATATAATTCTAATTTACGGTCGGCTGTGACGTCAATGAATCACGTGACGGAACGATCGCAGTTTAAACTGGCCGTAGAATCTTTCTGCAGAAGAGTCGAGGAGTATGATAACTGCTGACACAACCCTAAAATTTGTCTTAGACAAACTAAAAAGCCAGGACACAATCTTGAGTGCCAACCTTTCCAAGGCACTCCACAAAAGAATCAGAGAACGGCATCTTACCGAGGTCACAGGGATGCTGATTTACATACAGAACCCGAAGAAGTATGACCAAAAAGTTAGAAAGCTTTATCTTTCACGTGCAGAAAAAATGTAATGCGCCAGGAGATGAAAAATATGCTGAATCATGTAAATACATAATATGTAGTGGAACTAGCAGCAATGGCAGAGAATATTACGGAGGTGGAAAACGATTCAGATAACCCGGATTCCTTGAATTTCACATTGGAACAAGAATTAGAGATCCAACTAAAGCGTGAAAAAGAAAACTTCATGAAATGGAAGGAAACTAGTACAGAGAAGGATTATAAGTTATTAAAAAAGGAAATAGCTGTTTATGAAAGTGAGGGAGTCAGACGTGAAAACTTATCTTTGATTTATCATTATTTGATGACACTGAAACCAACTAGCGTAAAGGCAGAAAAAGGCCTTCTCTGCAGCGAAATATATATGCAGTTCATTAAGAAGTAGGTTGGGAGACACCATCATCAATACCATTTGTTTCTTGAGATCCTACTTCCAGAAAAGTCAAAAAAATAACAGAAGCGATTGATTTAATTTTATTTAATCCTTTAAAATACTTTATTCAAGACAAGACTAATATTTTATAACTTCTACTCTAATTCTATTAAGTAAAAGTTTTTAACTTTTATTCTATAAGTATTTAGTGAGCCCACTAAATACTTATAGAATAAAAGCTAGACAATTTTTTGTTAAAATTAGTGAGAAACTGAGACTACCTAGTTAGTTAAATAGTTAATTAAATTAATGAGTATCAGTATCTTAGATATATGATGATATGAATGTATGTGATTCATGATTGTGATAACAACAACTAACTACTAACTACTAATTACTTACTCACTACTTTACTAACACTAATAATTATATTATTTATAAATAACTACAGACTGATATGTAGAGCCTACATAAGAAAACTGGTAAGACTGATAGCCACTTAGCCATTGATTATCCGTCCTTACATTATTAATATAAATTAATTAGTAAAATTACCTTTGCTATTATTTTAACTTAAAGATTACATTATAATTATAATCTAACTAAACATTTAAAGTTAATTATTTCTATCTCAAGTGTTAAACCGAACCAAAGTTAAGTTTACTACCTAAATGTGTAAGAAGTTTTTCTGATTTATAGTGAGCNACAAGTGTTACATTAATAAAATATGATCCCATATATAACTTCATTTTTCTTTATACCATGTTAATTTTTTTTATCCCGAGTAAATATAAAATTTGGGAACTTATAAAAATATTTTGATAAATTTCAAAAAAATATTTTTTTTTAAAGAAATGAAGTATCACTTATTAAAATTTTTAAATTTAACATTAATATCTTTTGATTATCATCAAAAATGTTTGGCAATTTAAGATATTCCATTTTCTATTCTATTGATAATAATGCCAATATTTTGTTCATGACTGTTTACAAAATCTGATGAATAAAATAGGTCATGAAATGCACAAAGTGAAAATCACAAAATTCATATTATATTCAATACAAAGAATAAATTGCAGATCTCATTAAATAGATAAGACTGAGATCTATTTTATCAAAGCTTTAGCAATACTTCAACACTACAAGAAACAAGAAAAATTTAATATTTTTAACAAATAAATTTATAAAAAGCATTCTGATAAGAAAATTCAACATTTAAATATTAACATGTTATTAATTGCACCTTTTGTTTAAACTTCAGTTTTTGGAATGATAAAAAGAATCTAAGTACAAAAGAAATGGACAAATATGCAAAAGAATGCACGCAGAAGGAATAAGTACGCTCCATTTTACACCATTTTATAAGTACAAATAGAAGCTAAGCAAAAATAATCTCTTATAACAACAACACAAGAATGATATTCAATTTATTCAAATGTTTGAATGATCTTTGGTATCTTGGTTTTATAAAATTATTAAAATGTTAAAAAGTATTTGGTATTTTGGGTTTATGAAATTAACTAGATTTTACTAACCATTCACAGCTAAAAATATTTACCTTTTCTCTTCATTTATACAAGAAAAAATTTACAAATTAAATAAAGATTGTGACTTTTCCAAATAAATTTAAAAATTATCATCTACAATACAAATATTTACTGAATAACAATTTTTATTATTCTAAACTACTGGAAGACTCAAAATATAAAAATTTACCCATTGAATATATCAAAATTTAGAATAATTATAGATTAATATTGTTATAAACATTTTATTTAAAGCAGTTTTCACATATAATATTAATAATTAGTTTAAGAAAATCACTTTAATGAGACTAATGATAAGAAAAGAATATATATGTATAACTGACATTTTAAATCAACTCAAAGATAATCATCATTCAGAAGAAAGGTTGATATATAAACATTCAATGATTTTTATCATTGTTCAAACACAATATTAAATGTGATCTTTCATTCACTGCAAAAAACAGCCAGATCAAATAACAAGTGCCATTATTGTGCTAAGAATTAAAGCTATGAATTGAGACAAAACTTCTGAAATTTGTTTTCAAACATTTTAACATTTGTCCAAATTATTTATACCATTGTACAAATCAATTCTAAAAAAAATAATTATCACCAATAATCTTTTGACTGAATGTATATAGAAGCAATACTGGAATGATAAAATTTATTGTCAAACAATAGAAATAGCACCCATTTCATACAAAACCTTATATCAGAGTGCATGTTTCTCTAAATATATCACTTATAAAATGTAACACTTTCATATGAAAATAAAACTATAAGCATTGTTAATTATTGTTACAGACTATTTAAAATGAAAGATTTTAATTTACCACGGTTAATTCCTTAGGATTATATAGACTTAATGCAAGATTAATTTTTATAAACCAGTTTTTTAAAATTTTATGCTTAAATAACAAAATTTAACTAATTAGAAAAATATCTTAATGAATGGATACAATATTAAACAGATAAAATACCATATCTATAAATAATTTCATCCCAACTAATTAATTAAAGACATGGAAATGTTTAAATATGCAAAATTATTCTGAATACATTTATGAAGTTGAATGATGCTTATAAGATTTAAAAAAATAATAATTTGAGCATATAAGTAATACATCACAGCAATATAATAACTAAAAGTGAAATCATATCAGCTGATGAGATAAAGTGCAATATAAATTGTCTCCTTACCACAACTAAAATTAACAACCAATTATATTTTTCATGCAACAATTCAATCCTAGCATTATTTCAAAAAGACTTTTCTTTTCCTTTTAAGAATTGTTACTGTGGAATGAGATATTCTTCATTCTTACATATATTTTGATCATAAGTTCATTCACTTTAAGCTATCTTCTTAATCTTGTTTGATGACAATCTGAATGTGGATTTTCACCATTCAATATCTCAGTACCATTTGATTCTTCTTTATTTGCAAGTGTGTCATTGATATTTGAAATGCTAAAAATAAACAAAGAATAAATACATAAATTTTTAAAATCTATAAACTAAATACTATATTTTAATTGTTACAATAAAAATGGTTATTATTATACAATAAATGTTTTTCTGCAAGACAATACGCTACTTTTAAAAGATCGATTTAAGTAGCAGTTAGTGGACTAGCAAGTGTTTTTTAATATATTGTTTGAAGCCACCTAAAATATCACTAAAAAGCCATATACATACGTTCAAATCACAAAATGTATCATTACATTTCATGTGATTGAACATATGTATATGGCATAAAACTAATTTTTATTTTCTTTTCAAAATATGTTTAAAAAACACATTAACCAGTGTTAGAAACATGATGAAGCAGTCCTTTAACTTACAATTAAATTTTATTCTAATCTAAGAATATATATACACTTGTTCATGCATCCATAACTTGGCGCCAACAGAACAACTGTTTCTTCCCGCCTCTAGCTGTCTTACGCAGGGTGTTGCCAGTCTACAGACAGTTCACAACATCGATAATTGCTTTAGTTTTGTATTCCCTAACAACCAGAAACATATTTCAGCTCAAAATTATTTTTTGGATGTTTTCAGACAAATTGATTTGCTTGCATTTAATTTGATTGTTATAATTCTTACAACCCTTGTCTCCCCTCTCTTTCTTATGTCATCCCTCTTAACACATGGATGGCCTTATTTTAACAGCTGCAAAAGTCAGCCTGACGATGTCTGCTTAACAACATTTGAAAACATTTGCTTTCGTATCTCTGCCAGATAGCAATTCCATTCATTTTGTTTTAATACAAAAATATTTTTAAAAATCAAACTATAATAAAAATGCTTAAGATTTCAGCTTTTTTTATGATTAAAACTAGAAAAATGACTTTCAATACTCCAAAAATTCATTCTTATATACATTGATATTTTTACTTTATTTTAGTAAAATATTTAACACACAGTATTGAGATTTATGTACTCAATAGCTAACTGAAATTTTTGTTCAACTGCTTATAATAATTATTATAAACTCTAATTTTGTGTTGTCTGTCATTAAAAATAAAAAAATAAATTGGCAAAAATAAAAACATTTCTTAAAATGCATATATCACATAATATAAATCATTCCTTAAGCTATTTCATTAATGAAAATGTCAACCTTAATTTTTAAACTACTTTTTCTTAAGTTTACAAAATTTAAAAATATAGATATAGACAATCTTTGTTTTGCATAAAATGATGGACCATAAAAATGATCATACAAGCTGAAACCATGCAAAGCAATCTTAATAATCAAATGGAAAAATTATAATCATTCTGGAATCTTTGAAAAACTTGTAAAATCACTAATCATATTCATTTTCACTTCCAGCACTATTTTTTTTCTACACTTTCAGCTTTTTTGGCCAATTCCTGCTTTTCATTATCCATTTTTATAAACTGTCACATGGGTTTATCACTGCAAGACAAAATTTGATGGGTATAATGATACAGAAACTGCTTTATAAAGTAAAACATTTATTATTACATCTAATAGTGGTCATTTTTAATGTGTAAAATTTGTATATTAAAACTAAATTTTAAAAACAATGAAATGAAAGAAATTGAGTCATTCAACAACTTATTCATTCAACAATATGTTATTACTGTCAAGTTGACAGTAATAACATATTGTCACAAGATTAAAAAACATTAAATCACAAATACACATAATCAGCGGTGATATTCGAAATATTTAACAAAGGGTTCACTAACAGAAAATTTTTCCTTAACAATTTTTTTTCGCTCAAATCGGAAGGCTCTAGTTTAGTAGTGTTACAGAGTATAATACGTATACAGTATGTAATATATTTTTTAAAAGAAAACCATTGAGAAATGTTACATGTGTTTAACAAGGTTCGGAAAAGTTTGAAATTGTTAACAACGGGTTCGGTCGAACCCATGCAAACCCGCTGAATATCACCACTGCACATAATTAAGTAAAATTAGATAATGAATTTCAGCAACTTATGCACAAATAAACAGTTTCTAGTATGAAAAACCTGCAAAATTAAAATCTCAACACAAGATTTGTTGTCTGTGTGTGAACTGAACAACAGATGTGATTGGTTTACTTTTAAAGTTACTGAACATCTGTCCTTAAACTAAACAGATATAAAATATTTGAAAACTAAATTTAAAATCTTATAAAATTTGATTCCTTGAATTTCAAGCAATCAAATACAGTAGAGCGTCGATTATCCGAATCAATTGGGGACTGGGGTGGTTTGGAAGATTGATGTTTCAGATAACCGATCATGTACGAAAAAATATATTAATTTAACCCATCTTGACATTTTTCTCCATTGCGTGTCACTTTGCGTTGANTCCAGATGGTTTCAAATTCTTTAATAAATTATTAAAATTATAATTATTAATTTAGTTAAGTGATGGCATCTAATATCTACCTCTAGTAGCAAATTACTTAATATTAATCATTAAATTAGCAGAGTTACAGTCCAACTATTTAAGGCAATTTCTTGATTATGTTGAAGTTTATGTAGTAAAATTCAGGTAAATTTCTTTTGAAGTAAATTTTGAAGTAGATTTTGTAGTAGTAAATCATATTCAAATTTAAAACATACCCATTATGTAAAATTTTATTTTTTCCATGAACACTTGTTGCATTATCAGATTGCTGATTGTTCCTTTCAATAACATCATATTCCCGTGTGTCATCAACTTCTTTCATTTGTCCTGTTACAACACGCCAAATGAATCCCAAAATAAACTGTAAAGGAAAATTATTCATATTTTAAATTTTAAAATATCTTCATTTTGTAAAAATTGATTTATCTAAACAATCCATAAACCTAATTTTAAATAATGCCTATCTCAAAATATCAGGCTATAAGGCTAATTTAATAATTAATGTAAATAATTTGACTAGATGTAGGCAGTTATGTTTCCATCTCATAATAATTTTAATAATTAACTGACAACATATCTGTACAGTTAATAGTTGTACCTGCTCTGGGCCAATTCTTTTCTTCCAGAAATTCTAATTTAATTTATTATAATTATTAAACTGATCACAAAATGGCATCATAATTGCCTACATCTAGTCAAATTATTTACATCTAATTGTTAAGTAAGTGTTATTATAGCCTGATATTTCAATAGATTGTTTGGCACGGTTGTATCTTTTTTTTTAATTAAAATATTTAAAAAATTATTTTTGTTTTTTAAATATATTTCAATTACTTTTTAATATAACTTAAGAATCTAAACATAGCTATAACAATCATTTTGTATCATTAACTATTTGTTTAATTCTCACTTAATAATTTGAACAGGTAAATTAACTTACAAAGTTATTCTTAACCATGTACGTCTGTATTAAATAAGAAATTTCTTTTACAATAGTGTAATTTCCTATGTTGCATAATGATGTTAACATTATCTAATATGAAATAATTTGGCTACAGTCATAACAGCTACTACTGATGTACAGGAAACAAAATTTCAAAGTACTTCTAAAAACCACAAGTGTATTATTATAGGATCATACCAAGCAATAGAATATTCTATTCATAAAAGATGGCAGAAAACGCATCTATTTATAACAGAGGACAATATGCCTATAAATGATTAAATAATTTTAGAAAAATTCTGTAAAAGGAAACAATTACAATTAAGATATGGATCACAAGCTATGCATACTAAAAGATTGCTATATTATAGAAAAACATTTTTTTTATAATAATTATTAAATTTATCAAGAGATAGTATATCTATGCAAAATTACTGAATATTTAATTATTAAATAGTAGCTGTATTGTAATCTGATATTATCCAACAGATTGTTTGTACTCCTTTCTAAACATTCTAGTTGAGAAGCACCCTGGGTATTAATTACATTAGTATATTTACAAAAAATATGAATATATATATTTGCTCTAGCAGTCAAATTGGATGGTGTTCTCTTACAAGGAGACCCTATGGCTTTGGGGAAACGGATTTTGATGATCTTTGGTGTATAGGTAGTACACCATGTGAGTGTACTACCAATAAAATACTAAAGTGCAACACTCAAATATAATCGAGAAAAACGAACTTAATTTATTGAAGCAATATTATATAATTACATATCATTGTTAGATGTACTTGTACATGGTCTTGAATGATACTTATGGTAAAAACATTCAAAACAAATTCTGTCTACACCAAGAACAACAAATAAATGCTGCTTTTTTACAATTGCAAGGAATTTGTAAATAGTCTGATGAGAGAAACACTTCATTTACATTTGTATAAAACTTTCTTATATCACAGAGTCCACTGGCATACCAAGCATATTTTATCATGTCACAAAATATTGGTGCTGATAATTGATGATGGATAATTGAATGTATTTTCAGGCAATCATCTCGAGAATGAATTTCATAATTTTTGTCCAGTAGTTCAGCGTTATTTTGTAATCATTTAATGAAATTTTTTATTTGTCTATAAAAATAGACATCACATGGTTGGACTAACAGAGTACATTTTGGTGGTATAATTTTAATTGTGCCTGTAGGCATTTTTTCGTCATCTTGGAATACTTCATCATACAATTCTGCTTTTGTTTGTCCTGTCTATGAGTCATGAGTAAAAGAAATTTATTCTTCTGCATGCAAGCATACAAGTCAGGAGCATTACCACTCACGCCACAGCACGCTCAATCGGAAGTATTAACTTATATATNTCCTATTATGAAATTTATTGATCTACAACACAATATATTGTTTGTTATATTCAAAAGTGTTTTTAAAAATTATAATTTTTAGCTATTTTTACAAGCTCTTATAAAATAATTCAAATTAAAATAAATTAAAAATTAACCCAAAACCAGTATATGTTCATCACAAGGAGAATCCATAATAAAACATTCATGGTAAATCCAAATGGTAATGGAATATTCCTTTGCATCAAAATACTACTTGCAGCATATAACGCTTTCAATGGAAACCAATAGAGACGGCTAACATACCTAATAAAAGTACATATAAAAGTAAAGTAAGTAAAATAAACATTAAAAAAAACACAAAGCATAAATAAAATAATTACTAAATTTAATTATTATTATATATCATTGTATTAATGTACGATCAGTTAGATTTGTTAGTCAATTGTGATTTATTTGGAAATGACAAATTTAATATCCCATAAATGAATGTTTATTTTAGAGAAATAAAAGTTGTCCATTGTATTTGATGTGTTGAATGTGTTTAAAAAATATGAAAGTATACTATGTTACACTGTGTGTTACAGACAGCAATGTTCATAATAAAGTTGTAGAATTTTATAGTATGCCTCAAAAATTAAGGTAATAATTTCTTCATTAAATTTTTACAAGCTTACTAACCTAGTCAATTCTAATGAACATATAAAAATGTATTCATATGAGAAAAAATAATCTGCAAAAATCTGAAAAGCATGTTATAAAAACTACTGTATATTGAATTATGAAAATGTAAAGGTAAATAGGATGATAATACTAATCTCAAAATTTTAGATAATTAAAATATAATTACAATTAGATTAAATCTAAAGGAGAGCTCTAATTGCTCTAAGGATAAACTTCTTTATGGGGAATGCAATATTAATGTGTAAGATTCTCTGTAAGCAGAACTCTATATGCTTGCAAGGTCTCTCCGGTCACTCAAAAATCCAGTTACAACTGATCAAGTATCTTTATATTTTCTTTTCAGAAAAACATGACATACATTATAAATCAGTATAATTAATGATTCCTCTTCAGTGTAGTATAATTTGAGAGAAAAAATACACTTAACACTGAAGAGGAATTGTGCTAACTAAACTTGCTTAAATATTATTTATAATAAGTTACTTAACTTACAGACTAGATATTTTGATACACATTATCAAGATGTCATATATGAGAGCAACTTACAACTAAGAAAATAGTATAAATTTGATATTGTGGAAAATCTATAATACAGGGTGGTTAGAATGAAACACAGTACTCAGATGTGTGGAATTGGCTCTACTGAACCAAATTGAATGAAACTCATGCAATGCAGATCACAGGAAAAAGATTTAGAAAGGAGAAAAAAATTAGTTGGAATTTATCACCAGGAAAAAATGTGGCACTGCAAGAATGACAATTATAAAACAAGTGGGCAAAATTTTATTAGAAGAATAAAATTATATTTTACACTTTACAGTGAGTGTTCAATATAGGATCCTTCTCTGTCAACTACATGTTGCAATCATCAAACCATGTTACCAACTGCTGCATATAACATTTCAGGAGGAATCTGAGACACATGTCACACTAGGCTGGCCTTCAGGTCCAACACAGTGCACACAGATAAACATGTTTTTGATTGAATAGTGTCATAATTTTCCCAGGTAGTGAAAATTTCAGCTAATTTCTTTCCTATAAATCTTTTCCTTCTGATGCAAATTGTATGTATACTGAGTTTCATCCAATTTGATTCAGTAGAGCCAGATCCATGCATGTCAGTACTGACAGTTTAATTCTAATCACCCTGTATATTAATTTTATCAGCTAGAGAGGATATTAATCTAATGATTTTTCTTTCTAGTGAAAAAATATCTGTATATAATATTGCTAGAGTATTTAATGCTTTACAATGTACAGAATCTTTTTTTAAAAAAAAGGTATTGAAATTGGCTTTACAATTTACAGCATGATTTTTACTACTATGAAAAGATTATTATTACCATTGTCTATGATGGGATGTGAGCACATCCTATAGAGGAATGGCTGTCAGCATTAATGATGAGAAAAAAAGGACTAACTAACCTAAATACTACAGAAATTTTAGGGATGATATGACATAATATGTATATACTGCAGTAAGAAAGCATTTCAACATAAAAGCAACATTTTTTTTTTGTTCTATTAACAAAATCAGAATTACACCAAAATCTAGGACTACAGTGGTACCTCAGGATACAAAATTAATCCGTTCTGAAACTGAGATAATATCATGAAAATGTCTTAAAGTGAATCATTTTTCCCCATACGATTACATGTAAAACCAAATAACTCATTCCATCATGAAAAACACTCAAATTAAAGCTATAGTAGTATATTAAAAAAAAAAATAACTTTAGTAAGGAAAACACTGAAAAATGCATTCTGTAGTTGTAAATGTATAAATAACCATAATAGAATAATAATTGATTTAAAAAAATGTAGTTTTATTTGCACTTTACCTTTGAGGATAGACGTTGGTGGAGGTGTAAACTGGTGGCGGAGGAGATGGAAAAGAGAAATGATACTAAAACTTAATTTACATACCATAATGTAACAATAACTTAAAAATAACTTAACACTAATTTTTTAACTTTTCTGTTTTATATATTTTTTTAAATTTTTTATTCACTGCTTTTTGCCATCTTTCCTTCACTTCCACCAGCACTTTCANTATCTTAAAAACCTGATGATATTTAAAATCAAAAACATCAGTTCAGTAATTAAAAATTTTTTTTTTGTTTTTTGTTACTGGATTTTGGGTTTATTTTGAGTTAATTATTTATAGTACATTCAGTTTTTTGTAGTAATTAATGTATTATCTCATTTTGCTCAACATCAGTTTTCAAAAACCTATTTATAATAAGTGAGTACTTGCTGTATTTTTAAAGGTGTAATCAGAAAACTTCTGGAATTTGTTGAAGCATTAATTTACAGCAAATATCATCAAGTTTCTCATGTAGTGCAAAAATGAAGACAAGACATTACTGAAAAGCATTATCCTCAGTGGTGAGTCAACATATCTCAGTGGTAAAGTGAATACCCACAACTGTAGGATTTTGGTTTTAAAAATTCACAAGCAATTGATCTCAAGCAATAGTCTCATCACAAATAATCCAACAATAACCTACAGATGTATTATTTTAAAATTAATATCAAGTCAGCATGACTTATGTTAAAAGTTGTAAAATTTATCAAACAATTTGTTGTATTATTAAATTTATAACAGTTATAAAACATATATGATCCAGTACAAACAAACATTAGCTGCTGGCTACATAGTTGAACAATTATAGTGACAATTCAGTAAACAGTATTTTTTCTAATTTTGATGAATTGTGAATAATGGAAATTGGACTTTAAATGTAGCCCTACTACTTTAAAAAATTCAAAAACTAACAATGATTCAAAGAGCTTCTTAAAACAAATCCTGCATTTCTACATACTAATCTTTTCAAAATTATTCAGGCTATCTTGTCAATAGGGATAATGTGGAATCCAGGTTTTCTATACTGAAGCAGTATTTGATTTAGGTAAGATATGAAAGGACCTTGACCTGATTAAAAATGAATTGCAGAGATGGAGAATATTTTTGAACCCAAAATTTTCCCTGGACATACATAAAATTTCTTCAAAGTTATAGCACATTAACACAAAATAAAACAAATTATGAACCAATTAATTACTACTATTACATTGTTTGGAAAATTTAAATTAAATCATATAAAAAATTTAGTAGGCCTACTGTATAATTTGCTGAGCAACATTGAACTTATAAATTAATGTAAAAATTTTTAAAATTAAAATATCACTTCAATTTAAGCACAATCATAGGATAGAATATATAATTATAAATCTGTAAATACATTAATTAATAAAAATAAAATTGAAACTGATGCTAAAAATGATCTATTTTTAGCATGGATTGCTAATTAACAGACTGACATATAAAACAATTTATTTATGACAATGATGGTCCTACAATTTTTTCTGAAAAATTATTTAAGAAATGCACCAATTTCTTGCAAAAAGAACCTTTTTTAGAGTTTTTGTCTGACTTTTTCATCATTACAAAAATTGGTTGTATTTTCAAAAATAATAATGTTTTAAAATATACTTTGACATTTATTATGAAATAAAAAATAATCTACAAAAAATATGAATAATAAAGAAAAATAATGTTTCTTTAATTATCATAAAATTTCTATTTAGTTATATAATGGAGACAATTCAGAAAAAGTTTTTAAACACAGTTTATTAATTTTCTATGTAGGTAATAAGCTAATACTGTAGAGCATCGATTATCCGACTCAATTGGGGACTGGGGTTGGTCGGATAACTGAAAAAACAGATAACCGAAAAGTATGAAAAAATACATTATTAGTATAGTATATCCCATGTAATTAGTATATTATTGATAGTATATCGTTATTAACCTACTTCGCATTGAATTTGCATCGAAGTTAAGCCTAACAAAAATCTTTAAAAAATAATCTTTGCTATTGTATTGTTAAAAATTATTTTATTGCTCAAAACAAACCACTCATAATTAGAAAATTAAGCCTTGTTTAAAAATACTGGCATCCCTTTCATGGTCAAGCCGGTGTTGCCAGCTAAAACACCAAAGATTTAATATTAAAGTAGCCAAGAAATAGCCAAATATTTTAGCACTGCATCACTAGTGGACATTTGGATTTGCCGACTAGAACACGGTCGGTTAACCAATGTGACAGTTGATTGGGGGGGGGGTCGGATAATCGATGCTCTACTGTATTTCACTTTAATTCAAACTGACAATCTCATTATGAACCTGATCAAATCACCAATAAGCTAGATAATTGCAATCTGGCAACCTACTGTAATGAATTTGAGAATATGAATGTCAAAAGGTAAGTTGGGTATCCTGAGTTCTGATAATCTCATCAAGATCTTCAGAGTGAATTAGATCATTATATATATGTTAGGCTCAAAGACCGAAATCATTTGAGCGAAAGAAACGACCACAAAGCGAAATTCACATTGTGGAAATTGTAAAAAAAATCCACAATGCATTGTGTCAAACTCAAAATGACCACAAAGGGAAATTTGCATTGTGGCTTTCATGATATTTGACCACTACATGTTGTGGTAAAAACCATAATGCATTCTGAACATTAGCTGATGCAACCACGATACGAAGGATAGGTTGTAACTTGTCAACGGGTGCATTGCAAACACTTGCGGAGTTTGTATTGTATTCATTC